TAGAGATGTCAGATGCTAAATATTTGAATTAATTTGAGGGGATTAGGAACCAGGCTCTGGCTCCCTCGAGGTGTAATGGACTTATCCTTCAATGATACGGCCGCATCATTTTAGTTAATATTTATCTTTATTTATTTTTCACTTAGCTATTATTTGTGGGCTGATTCTAAGACTGTGGATGATGTTGGAGTCTAAACAATATGCATGATACGCTCAGTTTGAGGCAAAAGTTTAAAAGTAATAACAAGTTCAAACTAAGATCAGTACTGTACCTGAGACACTCACAACCTACAAAGTCACCTTTAAGTATACTTTGAAAGTGTGTTTATTTATGACACTATGGACCGCTTGTTCTCCCAGGTTGGTGTTACTGCAGCAGCTTGAGAAAATCAATTTTGGGCCCTGGGATTAGAGCCTGGGCAACATTAAAATCCAAGTCAGCTAAAGTGTCTCTAACTGTCTCTAACTGAGAAATGTAGAGGTATCTTACAATAAGTCTGTACATGTGCAGGCATTCTTTGCAGGAGAGCCTGACATTCGCCTGACTGACCAACGGAGTGACTCATACGATGTGCTAGTCACAGCTAAAAACCCTCTATACCCAAAAAGAGTGCTGGTGGAAAACTATGTATGGACTACACTCAAAGTTCTAAATTTACCTGTTAGATTACTTCCATAAAACAGAGATAACTGGGTTTTTTGAAGAGCTGTTGAACAAGTAAACACATTGACATTATATTGGCTCATAAGGTTGTTGCGGCAAACATGTTAGCAAACTGTTGCCTATTGACCAGCAGGCAGACAACAACATTAGTATTCATTTGGAGTTTTGTTTCTGGCCACCTGAGTCCAATATTGACTCTAATTTTAGCTTGGTTTTGATCTCCATCGACTCCTGATGGATATATCTGGGTCTTTAGCTGCTAAATGCTCAACTGTGTTCATCAGATAACATTCTCTAACATTGTCTGTCTGCCGATTTGTGCTAGGCAGGTAGAGTACAACGGGTTTATTGCTAAAAAAAACAGTTGCCTGGTGCAACTGGAAATTGGCAGACTGAACCAAATATTAAAGGTGTGGGCCATGAAACAAAAACAACAAGCGGATAGATGCCAAAATGCAGAGTTAGGTGAAAACCACACCCTACAACTAGTCATGTCATCCATTGTTAATATAAAATGATTTATTAGTGCAGCTTTAAATGACAATATATGAATACATTTTTTGATACAATAGTCCATACTAATAAAATATGAAATCTTGTGTTTTGGATTTAAAATAGATGTTTTCTGGACTGGTTGCTGTATCTATATAGTGCAACTGTCAACTGTGGCCACCTACCTGATTTTTTTTTATCAAGGAGGAGGAGATATATAGAGTGCCTCTGCAGAGTCGTGTGTGTGGGAGCATTTGTTAAAACTGTTCCTCAGCTCGTGGGATTGTTGGTTAAAAAAGAAAGAAGCAGTTCCAAGGCACTCATCAAATAAAAACATTAAAAAGTAATCGCTTCATGACTTGTTCAAAGACTGTTTCAAATCCATCTTCTGAGTGTTGTGTCAATGCTGATGACTTCAGTGTGGAGAAGCCACCAAATTGCAAAAAGCGATGGTTTTGTTTTCAAAAGTGCCCCAGAATTATCTTTTGATTCATTTCTATATTTTGTATATCTGTATTGCAGCTCTTGAAGCTGTAGAGTTGCATAGTGTTAGTCTGAACACTCATGGTGAATTTATGATGATGCTTTTCTCTCCTGTTCTGTCTCCTGCTGTTGCCGCACAGCTCTCTCACACAACTCTCTCTCTCCCTCTTTCTTTTAGCTGTGGCTTCTCAGGACCGGGCCATCGTTGCAGACAGAAGGAGGGTAGGATCTATAAATAGAAATTGGACCAATTATAAAGCAGATGTTCCCCTGTATGATGGTGGGAGCACACTGCGAAGGGGAGGGGTGTCTGTGGTACCTTCACTATGTCTCTGAGCTCTTGTTCTTTGTTGTTTTACTCTCCGTCTCGGAGTTTGTCTTTGACTGTCTCGTTTCTCCGTCTCTGTCTGGTTTTCTCCTTCCCTCTTTAATCGAACACCCTCCTCATTCCAATTTTTTTTTATCTAGCTGTTATCTACGTCATGACATGATCACATGCACACATGCACATACAAGCTCACGTGTATGATTGCTTGCACATTCACAGCCAACATTTCTAAATAAACCTCTCCATCTCAGCTTGACTGACAGCCCTGTAACAGACTGTGGCATATAACATCCATTTGTTGCTTGCTGTTTACATCTCTCTAAATTGCATCCCCGTCATCAGGTTGTTTGACACAGCTGTGACTTGTATTTCAACAATTGTTATCACCCCTCAAACAATCCTACATGAACAGGGATTGTCTCCATAAGAAATTCAACTGATAAGGCAAAAAACAAAAAAAAACCCTGCTCTAATTTATACTTTTGATCCCAGGCTGGGGATACCATTTGGGACTTTGTGGTGAATAAGCATAATCTAAAATGTCCAAATATGGAATCGCCCTTGGTTATCAACACTTTAATCAGCACTGCCATCTTTCTGTAATTTGAGGGGAAATCCTCTTCAATAACAGATTTTGCCCATATTATCCCTGTAATCTGGGACAGTTCAATCAGTGTCTCTGAACTTTTTGTAAACAGAAACACAAAGCAGGACGTGAGCCCGGACTGAGCTTGTGTGTTATCATCAAGAGAAAATCCTGGAACTGCAAAAAATGAGATACTGTTTTTTAATAGAAAATGCAACAGTTGATTTTTCTATCAAAACAACAGATGTAGAAACAAAAACAAGCATTATAATCCTAGAAAATCCTGAGTAACAATATCTGCTCCTGTTAAAGCGAAACTTTTTACTTCAGCCATTTTTGCATTGCTATCCTTTCCTCCAGGTCTGTCCTCGCCACCACTGTAATCGTAATTCCAGTCATCGCCATCTTCAACGCTATTGTCGCCTTGATCGGCAACAACGTGGCCATCATCAGTTTCACTGATGAGCGATAAGGCTGTGTTAGATCTGCTGCAGCAAGGCAAAAGCCCGATCCATGCTAAGTAGGTTAGGGGGGTAAATCTTCAGGTCTCCAGAGGCTGAGCGCTTTCCCTCCGTGTCTCTCTCCCTGTCAGCATCTGACAAGCTCACCAAGGCTGAGCTGAAAAATACCCATAACATCCACCTCCGCAGTTCTCTTTACTGCCATGCTCTCCTTCACTCCCTGCCACGATCTATTCTTTACTGTCTGTCTCCACTTTGCTCCACGCATTTCTTTCTAGTCCTTCCATCTCCCACGACTTCCTCTTACCAATTTCTCCAGAATCTCCCTACTCTCTCACACACACACACACACACACACACAAATATGCACTCATCCAGGCAATGCATTTACATGCACACATCTACAGTTCAAAAACTAAACATTTTACTCCCTAAATCCTAGTATTTATTCAGACTAGAGTCGCTCTGATAGCCTGTAGGCCAGCTTAACTGACAGTGCATCTTGGCTACAATTTGCAACATGACTCACTGGCGTTGATGTGAAACTTTGTGACAGATGACACAGCCACACTTGACTCACAGTAACATTGAAGCATAACCTAATTCAAATTAGGCAAGTGATTTATTTTGGGATGAAGGCAATAGGCTTTCTCAGCTACCTGTTAACAGTGATGACCGTTTAGATGTAGATGCATATGAATGATTGTGAATGATGTGTTGTGCTGCCTTCAGTGGTGTTATAAAAAGCTTTGTTTGGGAGAGGCTCTGGGCATGATTTGGATGCTCACTAGTGCCTGTCAGAAAGATGGATATAGCTTTGTTCAAGTGGTATGTACATTTACTATGTAACACCAGCTATAAAACTTGCTCCAGATAAGGGGCTAGAATTCATTACAGCTAATAGGAAGTGACCAATATGTTACTGGGCACTTTGGCAAAGAATTGTGTGATAACCCAGGTCTTTGGGGATGAAAAATTATGAGCCCACCAGATCATTAAACACTACATCAATCAAGGCAAACAATGGCTAGAATTAGGAAGGTTCACAGCTCTCAATCAGCATGCAACTAATTCACATCCTCACTCAGTTTCAGTTGCTGCAATCCAGTCTGTGTGAGCCACTCACAGCCAACTTGATAACAATAGTCATCGCCGACATTACTCACAAATGTCAATAAGAAATAATTACCACACAAATTAAACCAGAATGTAGCATCTGAATCATCCACTTTGATCAGATCACTTTGATTGAAAAAAGTATAATTGCTCTAAGAGTGTTTATAGTCCTGTTAATACACTTTATCAAGACACTGCATATATAAGGTATGCACTCTTTCAAATGATGCCACCTCCCTCCCTCACCGCCTGGCATGGATGCTATATATGTAGAGCTGTTATACAGTTGTGACCAAGCAGTCGATAGAACAATATGACTCATGTATGTTTATATGTGTGACTCCATATTGGGGAAATTATGTTACACTAAACAAAAGCCTGAAGGCATAAAGACACCTGGTTCTATTTTGAAGCAGGATTTGTCAGCCTAATCACAACTGTCTGAGGACAGGTTTGTAAAATATTTAGATTTTATTACATTTCATTCAGAAAAGACCTTGTGCTTGGTAAGTCAACATCAGACAACCACCCTCATCCTGCTCTTCTCTTTAGCCTTCAGGCAGTCTATAATACCGTATGCCTGAATTCATTCTGAATCTGTTTGTGCAGTCGATCGCACACAAGGTTTTTTTGTTCTTTACCATTTTAGTGGTGTTGTTTTTTGTTTTCCATGTGAATGCACCGTGGCAGATGCTAACTGTGTTTGTAACGGAGTGCCGAGTGACAGTGGTGACTTTGAATGCATACTATGTTTATGTATTAGGTTGGTCGTGGCGTAAACTACTATAGAATTGGTGGGGGGGATAGAAATATTTTCCTATAATGAAACAAGTACAGCACTGGTATGATCCTTTCAGATGAGCGGCCTACCTCTGTGAGGTGAGGGTTGGGGTTGAAGCCACACTGGTTGCACACCATGCAGCAGCACTGTGTGCAGGTGTTGAAGTTGGGCTTGTCATCCCCAGTGCCCATCAGGTCGGTGGTTTTGCAGACGGGGCATAGTTTGCTGCTGGGCATGGGTGCAATTTGTGGCACAGAGTAAGGTGAGGTGGGGACGCTGCCTCGGTCCGGGGACACAGAGGGGGACCTCCCAGTCCTGCTGCTACCCACATCCACCTGCAGACTCTTCCTGGCCACATGACCCTGGACTTGCTCTCCTTGAGGGGCGGCATGCTGACGGGATTCGTGGGAGGCCAACCTGTCCCCTGTTCCATGACCACTCTGGACTCCTGCTTTATGTCCCGGGTCTGAAGGAGGTGGTCTGGTAGAGATGATAAAGAGAACACAAACGTGGATATAAGACCTGGATTCTGATTTAGGAGTTAATGTGACAACCATTTATAAAGTAAACATCAGCATATATTATTAAAAATGAAATATGAAAAAAGTTAGCTAGTGAATGGATGAGTTTTGGTTTTCTTTGTAAAATTTCCAAGGTCAAGAATGAACAGTCACGCTCAATACAAAATAATATATATTGAATAAAAGTAGAATCTCCTCAAAATGCTGCAGTTGTAGATGTTTACCCTCCTTCGCATTCAAGCATGTGCATGTCTACAATGTGACACATGTACATTTAACTTTTTTTAGATACCTTTATATTATGTTATATTATTATTTTTATATTTTTATCCTACTTATTTTTTACACTTTTTAACCTTAGTCAGTATGCAACACTGCATTTCACGACACTTCTTTTTACTGTTTGTGTATGTGAGTGATAAAACCCTGAACCCAACTCACTCTTTATTATTCTTATACAAGCATACATAGTGGAAATTCACTGCAGGCCATGGCAGACCCTTAATCACAGACATGCACACACACTTCACTTATGTCACATCACAAACTTTACATTCTTTAACACAATGATTCAATCTATAAGTCAGACTTTCCTATCAAAAACTCAACATGCTCAAGGGGGGATAATAATATACTGCATTAATTAATCTAACTAAAGTGGATTCACTTTTCAATTCAGATTTACGCAATATTTTCAAGAGGTTATTTTCAGCTTAATTTCAGTATTTCAGTGTAAAACGTAACCACAGCAACCTTTTGGGGCGATTGAGGGAAAGAATGGAGGCTCTGATTAAAGAAGAATGGTGAGCAGGAGAGTAAGAATGAGTAAGGAAAAGATGGAGTCAGTGAGTGAAATGATGAATAAATGCGCAAGAACATCAGTTAATTTAGGAGCGTTGTCTTGTTTTGTTGTTAAAGCAGCACAGTTTGTAAACCCCGTAACATTTAAGCACCGCACTGAAAATGTATGTAGCTTATTCATATTTTAAATGAGGTGCATTTAACGTCTTTTCAAGCAGGTTTTTATACCACTAATTTCCTCAGCTGTGAGATGCACTACGCATGCCATTAAAAGATTTAGTTTTTGCTCATAGTGTGATATCAGACTACTCAAAACGTTGGCCAACAGAGAGGCATATGTTGAATATTTTATATTGCCTCTATCAGTTTCTGTGAAGTGCTCCTTGTGGCTTGTTTTCACTCTTTGAAGCTGTTCTGTTCTGGCCTCCGCAAAGTGTTTAGGGTGGAACAAAGGTAGTGTATCAGACAACAGTATTGCAAACTTTTGGTTTTCTTTCTCATTCGGGCCCTCGGGCATTAGCACCAATAGTTGAATAGGAATGGAGGATTTCCACTGTCATAACAACTTAGACCTTGTTTTGTCATGCACGTCATCTTCAAAGACAGTCTCAGCGGCAGCTCTGCATCCACAGTGGGAGAATGGTGGAAATAAAGGGAGGAATAAAGGAATTAAAATAGAGCATGTTAGCATTTATGAGTCACAGCTGATGACTTGAGCCACCGCACAACCCTAACCCTCCACTCTCCACAGGAGTCCCATGTTCACCGTAGTGAGCCCATCAGGAAAAACCTGCACTTTTCCAACCGTCAACACACTGTTACATTTTAAATTCAGCACAGTCCTGGTAGTGTGCTGACCACCAATCTCACTCTTGTTTAAGGCTTGTTTAAGGCTAAACTGACTCTTGTTTAAGGCTAAACTGGACTTTTCAGGATATTGCTAAGACTACTGGCCTAAAGTCTGAATCCGCCCGGTGTCCTCGCAAGTAGTTTCACATAATAATTAGCACTTGAATGGCAAAGACACCAAGTGGAGGCTCTTATGATTTATGCAAAGCCTCAGGCATGGCTTAATGATACTCAAAAAAGACTTTAAATTGGAAGACACCCTTTCAAAAGATTTCTTTAGATATTCTCATCCATCAGCAAATGGGAGTCCACTGAGAGAAACGTGCGGCTTTGCATCTAAAGCACTACAAACTGCACAAATTACAAGGGTTTGTAAGCTGACAATCTTTTGTAACAGGAGCTCCCTGTGAAACTTTCTATCGTAAGGATGCAGAAAGAGTGAGATTCTCTACACAGCCTCAATAATACATGTGACAATGTCACAGTGTAGCTTAAAGTAATAGTTCAACATTTTGGGAGATACGTTCACTCTGTTTTGCCGAGAGTTAGATGAGAAGATTGATGGCCCTCTCAAGGTGCAGCCAGCAGTTGGTTAACTTAGCTTAGTACAAAGACTGGAAAGAGGGCGGGGACAGTTGTCTGTTGCCTGATGCAACTTGATGTTACACTTCAGTTTTTGTAAAAAAAATACACAAATAAGATATAATGTGTTAATTGGTGATCTTTACAGATGCTGGTAGGTGGATTTTGTTACCTTTGGACAGAGACAGGCAGGCTGGTTCCCCCTGTTTCTACTCTTTATGCTATGCTAAGCTAACTAACTGCTGGTACAGATATGAAAGCAATATCAATCTTCTCATTAACAGTAAAAATATTAATTATTCCTTTAAAAGAGTGAATATAGTCTAGCTGTGTGCTAACAAGCACACAGTGGACGTCATGTTTTCAACCGACTTTATTGGCACTGTCAGACAGGACAGGTCGGAGTTTTAGTTTTTTAAGTTTTAAGATACTCCATCACACAGATGGATATACTATTTAGTCATTTTTTAAATCTATAAATACCAGCTTTAATAAACAGTAACAGAAACTAATTATTTCCACTCTTGCAAAATACCTTGATCAAAATGTAAAGTTCAAATCAATTTTCTGTTTGAGTACAGAATAAGAAAACATCAGATCAAGTGTGCCCATTTTTCTAGTATCCTCCAGCAGTGCTGCACCAATAACACGTTGTAAATGATAATACCAATTCTGAGAGCATAGTAACACAAGTCGTGTTGTGGCTGCTACAAAATGCAGATTTATGACACTACTTTGAAAGGGTTTACTGTACAATTAACATAGGTCACTTTACAAAGAAAATATGTACAAATCTAAACTACAAGTTGCCTCACGTTGACATCTGACTTGTCAAATATGTCCCTTGGAACAGGGGAAATTGTCTGATAGATGGTTATTTAATTTTAGCCTGACAGAGTATATCTGTATTAGTATCTCCAGTATAATGGAGATTCTATATGTTTCCCATTGATTTATTCCTCTGTCCACTGGAAATGAAACTGAGTAGCTCAGGTTTCACAGTGAAACCTATCTCGTGCCGTCCATTAAGTAATATTTAAAGGTCATACCAGGAAGGTAGCAAATGCATCTCACTTGAATGCATGCTCCAATGAATCATTTGTTTTTAATGGCTAAATTCATGTTAAAGGCATCAAAAGGAGCAGCAGTCTGCCATAATACATCTGCTTATCAACAATAGGACCACCACTGCTGTTTTCACAAGGTTTCAGTTTTTCAATTAGCTAAAACTGTGACAGTAGCTGCGACAAATAGACGCAAGCCAAAGCTATTACAGTATTCACTAAATCAATTATTTGTGGATAGTAGTGTTACAGGGCATGGCACTTCTTATTTCTATTATTACGTTTCATCATTTAGTGTCAGACGAGCTTGGCAAACCCTCAAAAAATAATTGATGAGCAGCCAAGACATAAATAACAGAGAAATTACTGTAGAGGCAATATACTTCCCATCATGTGGGTCAAATGCGAATACAGCAGCTGCAGTGCTGAAACTTTAAATCTTCCACCTGCGGCGCGTCACATGAAGGAGACTACATCAAAATCACAACAAGTGGCCCTTAAACAATAATCCCAAGGACAGCACACACAGTGCTCGTACAGCGATGGTTTGTTTCATAGTGATTGTTCGAGTGTCGTTTAGATGAGTGGCAGGTTGCACCGTAGCCTCCATTACGAGCCAAGCATTTGATTTCTGTTCTGAAGGTATTTCGAGAATCTTTAAAGAGTCTTAAAACCATCTGAATAAAAAAATAATAAAAAAGGATGTTGAATCTGTTTCAAAGATGGCAGCCAGAATGACACACTTCCTTGCTGAATTTGTACAACATGTTCAATATTATCAATTATATTGTGATATTGATGTTTCTTACCAATATAGATAGATATATAGTAATTTCTGGCTACCTATAGGAAACAAGAGTTGCAACTTGACAAACAAGTTAAAAGTCTTTAAGGATTCTGGAAAACCATTAAAAGCAGCTGTAAGTCTTGTTAAATAACCATTTAGGTTGTCATGTATATAATTTTTGAAAAATCTGATGGTTAGCTCTGTGACTGTAATATGACAGTAACACGTGAGAGGCACAAACTGGGGATAGGTGTACCAATATGTCTGCTTCTAACTATACTGACCACGGTGTCCATTCTGGCAAAATACTCAAAGTGGCACGAGGAAGTTGAGCAAAGTTCAGTCCCATTTTTTTTTTTTTGATGGACCGCCTACAGTCGCAAATAATGCAACGCGCATGAGGAAATAAGTCGTCTTTACCAACTACGTGTTATCATCATCACCATCATCCAGTGTTATGTACAGTTATTTCCTTTTTTTCCTTTTTGTGTGCTGTAAGTGCTCTAAATAATATATCATATTTTTCTAATTTAAGTATTGGACATCTGAAAAATGCTACACTGCCAGTGTCTCACAAGTAGCCATTCATTTTCTGCAACCTACGGTTGTCATAGTGTCATAAATAAATAAATAACTGCTTTTGCATTATTTGTTTGAGTTGTGATAACAATTTGCTATGTTTAGGCTACATCGTGAACCGTGCTTCCATTGCTGAATGTAAATTAGTTATGAAGGTTTGTGTCTTAGAAGATGCCTGCATGCATCCATTATTTTCATTAGTATGTTTTACGATCTGTAGATTTGTTTGTGTGCTTTATATTGATTGAAACAGACTAATGTCAGCGCCATAGTATGTTAAACAAACTGAATAAATTAGCTGTGCACACTATATAACCTATTACATGATGGCGCAGTACTGTTGTTAAACAATGAGACGACAATATAGCAGCAGCATATTGAGCTCATTGTTGTAAACACAGGAAATATCTGGAGATTGCATTTAACACAAATCAGTATTTCGTATTATTCTGAATGCTTGTCAGTTATAGTCATCAGGTCAGGATGACTGTGCACTTAGTCAAAGCTGTTATGACCAGAGAAGAAAACAACCACTGTGGTTCTTTGCGAGGCAGAAAGGTAGGGTGACTCCCATAGCTTCATGGATTCATATATTGACTCAGATTTAGCTCTTTGACTGTGATGAATAAAATATAATATGATCTGAGATAAAGAAAAAGTGCCTATAGGAACCTTACTTCAGAATATGGGTATATATAGCACACTATGTCCCCATTCATATTAATAGGCAAACTCATAAAATGCTGCAACTCGTTTTAATTAAGATGAAAGTCTCCTATCTACAGTCTCAACCCAGCCACCGTCTCATTGTTTCTTATACGCTCACAAGTTCTTTGTGGAAGAGTATTTCAAGGCAAAGATTCAGACTGAATGTAGGGCCATGATCTTAAGAAAAAACATTTTAATCAGCCATATGATATACTCTCTGTCTCTCTCTCTCTCTCTCTTTCTCTCACCAGCCCTCTCTCAGAACACTCGCCATCGCCTTATGAGACACCTCAGGGTGGATACCAGCGAGAAATCAAGATATAAAAGAATGATGAGGTTACATGGGCGCTCTGAGCCTTTAAACCTGCCCCACAGTGAATGTACAGGATGAACAAAGAGTGCTTTTTACAAATAAAAACACAGACAGGACTAAACAGCGTTAAAGGTAAATGATTTTCTAGCTACAGCTCACCGTCATACCTTACTATCACTTTGTGTAATGAGACAAATCAAGCAGAGAAGCCGACGAAAAAAGATGACTTTAGTCTCGAATGAAGGACTGTAGCGTGAACAAAATCTATACATCATTTTCTATGGCTGGCTAAAGTACAGAGAGACTGTAAGCTGGTGAGGCAAATCCAAGATGCAGCTGTGCCTCCGCTTGTGCGTATTCAGGTCTACAACTGTTGGACTGTGTAATTAAGGCAATATCAGATCCTGTTGGACGGGTAATCCCTCCCACACACCCACACAGTAAATACAGACCTACAGGCTACTACATGTGATTAAACACTAATGATTTTGGAAAAAAGGCTAATATTTTATCAGCCTATATTGCCTTGTTATGAGGACAAGCATGGGGTTTCCATATGTACCTGCCAAAATATTGGAAATATTGTCATGTAAGGGCTTGCCACAGTAGTATTTAATGTGTCTGGGCTCAGTGTCTGGATTTCTTACAGAGAGATGCAACACTACTATTCCAGAAGAAATCACCCTCTTTTCTTTGCTTTGTTTTCCTGTGGTGGTGAAAAACACAATTTTCCACTGTCTGCATATTGATTTGGATTGAGATCTGATAAGTGAGACAGCTATAATGGCATGTACGCGTAATGGTCCTGTGCTCACAATGACGCTGGCAATATGTCATGGCAGCCTTGTCACCGTACACAACGCTGTCATCACGATACAGACGGTCTCCTCGTGAGGAGGAAGGTGATTTCTCAGAAAATGACTTTGTGTTTTCACCGGTACTCATGACCGAAGCATGTTGAGGAAATCAACCTGTAATGGACCCGACTGAGCCCTTTTCAACGTGAGATCCTGTGCACTTTGCATCATTTACAGCTCTAATTTATTTATCACCTGAAGCTACACACATATGAGGACATTAATATGTGCAACATGCATTCCTAAGTAGTCATATTTACTTGGCACTGCCTCACTATGAGGAGAAAAATGTTGCTCATTCATTCACGATACTTAGCCACTGGTGCCTTCGGGACAGACACCGTGAAAACGGGCGTAGAAATGCCTATTGAAGCGTTTGGAAGCTATATTTACGTGTTATTGATTCTACATCGAAAGCGCTGAATATTAAATTTGACTTCGACCCACATTGACGTTGAGTAACAGGGTGGTGCTGCCAGAAAGCAGAAATGGGTCTCAAAAAAAAAAACGGGGGGTGGTGAATTGTGTTGACAAGGATATTGAAATAAATAATTAAGCACCCATTCAGGTCTATCTCCACGCACTCGGTTGATCCTATATCTACGCTCCACGTCGTACAGATGTACCGTAAACGCCACCCCGCCGTGGAGCCTCCCCTGATTTCTCTCCGGGAGAAGCGTCCTAGCTATCGCGGCTACCTGTTAATCCCCGGCCCGGGTCCAGCCCCACTTCCTCCGGCTGGCGCTCCATTGCTGGGCTTGATGAGCTGTCCAGAGTCCGGTGGTGCTGAAATGGAAGCCGGAGCCCCCGCTGCAGGGACGGCGGGGCCGGGCTGTCCCGCCTGTCCCTCCCCTTCCATACTGGCCTCGTTCCCCATCGCCTCGGGATAGGTCTCGACGGAGAGAAACGATGTTGTAGATGGTTCTACAGCTGTGGTATGAACTCAGATGAAACTCAGCGCTGCTCCCCTTCCGCCATCATCACCTACAATTCAGCATCCCGCACGGAGCACGCGCGCTGACGGAGAGGGCTAAGGGAGCGCGCAGACGCAATGGGTGGGAACTTGAGTGGCTCGTACGTGCGCGTTCACGGTGGTCTGTTATCTCAAGTCACCACGCAAACGCCTCTGAGCCCCCTGTGGCACATGACTGGAGACCACTGGGACCTCCCTGATTCAGTTCACGGCGCTCAGTCATTGGCTGCTTGTTTGAAATGTGACAATTGATTATGTTTGTCTACATTTTGCTGTTTCCTTCCTGTGAGAACACTACATTATTATAAATTAGATTCTGGGTATACTGATCATTTCCTGACACAATTCTCTACAGCTGAAAGTATTAGTCGATTCATAGGTTAAAAGATTACTATACTGCTTTTGATGTGTGGTTCATTGTTGTGTGCTGTAGATATAGACATATATCTTATTTTATTTATTTAAGTGTGTTGCTCCTTTAACCTATGTATTTTAACTTTGTGAAGTGTTGAGTTCCTTTAAAAGTGCATTATATGAGGTAGTAGTAGTAGTAGTAGTAGTGAGGTGAAAGTATTAGTCGATTCATTGACAATCAACAAATATTCTGATAATTGACTAAGATTTTTAAAAAGGCCACATATTACCTGTTTCTGCTCAATTGTAAATATTTGCTGTTTTTCTTAGTATCTTGTGGTATTAAAATACATATTTTTGGAGTTTGGACTCAAAAATATTTATTATAGATTTTTGTTACTATTTTCTGACATAGTATAGACCAAATGATTAATCAACTAATCCAAAAAAAAATAAGATTGATTAATTCATAATGAAAATAACTAAGTTGTAGACCTAATACTAATACAAAAATGTTTGATGGAATGTGCATATGCAATAATCTAAGAAAAAGAACAATATGTACTTACTTCATCCCCAACGGGAAAACTCTTTTTTCACTCGATGTTTACACACACACACACA